CGCTGGTCTCTTCGCCAGTGTTGATTTGTGTCTCGGCTTTTTCCTTTATGTTTGCAATGAAGATATCCTTTGTGTCCTGGTCCTTCAGTATTTGAGTGTTGAACTTGGCTTGTGGTCTATCTGCAGCTCCTGTTTCCCTGAAAGCTTTTAATTTGATTTGGATTGTCCCTTGTACGAGGTAGTGGTCTGAGCCAACGTCTGCTCCTCTTCTTGCTCTTGTGTCCAGTAGGCTGCGACTCCACTTCCTCGATATTGAGATAAAGTCAATTTGGTTTTTGGTTCGCCCATCTGGTGACACCCATGTAGCCTTGTTGAGATCCTTGTGTTTGTATATGCTGCCACTAATCACTAGTTCGTTGAAGGCGCAGAAGTCGGCGAAGAGTTCTCCGTTTTCATTCATTTCCCCAAGAGCTTCTCTACCCATGATGAGTTCTCTTCCTGTATTGTCTGGTCCCAGTTTGGCGTTCATATCTCCCATTAGTATTTTAATGTCGCCAGCTGGAGTATTGTCTATTGCTGCCTGTAGTTGTCTGTAAAATTCTTCTTTCGCTTCGATGTCTGCGTTGTTGGTGGGTGCATAACATTGGATTATTGACACTTTTCTTCCTTTGGAGTTGAATCTGGCGGTCATTATCCTGGGCGAGATCGCTTCCCATTGCATCAGGGCTTTCGTTGCCGTTGGTGACATCATGATAGCCACGCCCTCGGTGTGCGTGTGGTTATCTTCTGGGTGACCGGAGTAGATCACTGACTCTCCCGTTGATAGTTTGGTGAGTCCACTTCCATTCCATCTGCTTTCACATATTCCCAGCAGTTGGATTCTGTATCTTTTCATCTCGCTGGCGATCTGGGCAGCTTTGCCAGTCTCGTACATGGTGCGGACATTCCATGTCCCCACACAGACTTTTTCTTTTGTCGCAAGGAGATTGCTCATGGTGAAGTTTCTGTAGCAGGTTTGTTTACAGGGTGGGGTTGCTGGCCTCACGCCTGAGTTTCTTCTTCGGGTACCTGAAATGGAAGAAAGGTTAGTGTTGCGTGACCGCAGAGTCCAGGGGACATCTGCTTGAGGCCGGTCACACGCGGCCTGGTGTGTCTCAGTAGTGTACTTATCACTTCTGCCCTGTGACACGGCAGCAGAAAGCGCGGTCGTTGTTAATCCGGGCCACGGCCGATCCGGCATGATATTTCTTAGATTTGTTGGGTTCATAGGTTTGGATTGATGAATGATGGCGACTAAGTCCAGCCCCCACTGATACCGTCGCCAATGTATCAGTAGGTTGTGAGGTTTGAAAAATTTCGTTGGCGTCCGCTGCTACTGTCAACGGAGCTACTCATGGAGCGGTGTGGCGACCCAAGTTATCTTCTACTGATACCGTCGCCACAGTCATACCAGTAGAAGTCCGGTTAAGCTGCCGGTCAGCCTCGGGAACAAGCAAAAAAATGGAGAAAACCAGCAGAACATCAAAAATTCCATAATTTCGCAACGGTAAAGCCTACAGGGACGGGACAGGTACCAATCGATTCGTCTTGTTGAGAGGAATCCAATGGTATATAAATCAGAGGGTAAAAGCTATTCCTAAGAAAAATAATCGAATTTTCCTTCCTAGCAGTCTCTGCCCCCCTACTGCCCTATGGTTGGTAATGCCCCCTAGCTACATACACAACGGCAAACAAACCTTTCGTATAAGAGTCGAATATTACTTGTGTGAGAAATATGACAGGTGCTTGGAATAACTACACAGGTGAACATGGAATCAAGAACTTGTCTGGATTCTATGGCTCATCACTCCCCGGTTTTCTTTAGTAGTAAAACAATAAATAATAATTCCTCCGAAATTAAGTTACCTAATCCTACCGGTTTGTGGTTATCACAAGAAAAACCGTTTGCCTTTTTATATAAGGGAATGCATGAGTAATTTTCATGTTTACTTTCAACTCACTTCTAATTGATAACTGACTGTCATCATTAAACGACGCTCAGGGAGTGAGTCACTTCTCATAGGACTGCTGTAATTTACCGTCACAGTCTTGAGTTGCAACAAGCTGACTCAGTTGCTCTGTTTCCGACCGACAAATCTAGGAAGTAACTGTATACGCTTTTACCTGCTGAGACTTTAGACACTCAAATCATTCTTCCTGAAAACAAATAGTGTGCTTCTTAGTTGGAGGCGTAAATCTACAAATGATTACTTCGCTGTATCACAGCTTCACTAAGATAAATACCTATAGGCAGACAGCATTTGACTGAATCCAATCACAATAAAAAATAACAACATTCACATTAGTGCTGAGTTATTTGTTTCCTAAACAATAAACTGATAATCTCCAAAGTTCTTTGAAATCCTTATGGGTGACTATTTACGTGCGAACAACACCCGAAATGAAAAAGCAATCGAAGTTCAAAGAGGTAACAGATAACATTATACATTACTTCCAGATGACTTTAACGAATGCACCTCGACTAAGTGACATTAGAGTCCGTTGTGAACAAGTGGTCTCATGTTAGGAACTAGCAGTGATGAGTGAAAAGAACATAATTTAGGTTATTGTTACTTCTGTAGATTCATTGAGGAATTACCAATTTTTATTACTGGAAAGTCAAGGATACATGTTGGTATACTTGTATCTCCCTTTACTAAAACATCAATCTACGAAGTCAAATAGTGCACAAGCTCTGGATGGTCTATACTATAATCAGTGAGTACATGCTAGGGACTACAAAGAGGAACACACGTAAACTAGGGTTTATTCAACCTAGTAATGAAACGTTCTAACAAACATAGTACATGTAAGCAACAGAAAAAATGCAAATCGTAACAATATACATTAACGCCAACAAGCTGAAAGGGTCTCATTATCTGAATGTGCTGTTAATATCAAATTATAACAGTGGACTGGTGCAATCAGATTTATCACCTCAAGTCTATTTCGCATGCCTCAGAAACAAATCATTCATAAGTTGCTGACGGTACCAAAGATCTGAATTCTTTTCCAACTGAACATAGTATCGAGAACACGATGTAAATACGCTAGTTCCAAGAGAATAAAAAATATGCATAGACTACCCAACTTAACCAGAGCTACTGAATCAGGGAAACTTATAAGCCCGTAATTAGTGGTAAGAAAACTAGGTACAAAAAAAAGATCACTAGTTCTGCGTGATACAAAGGCATACAAGTGACCAGTGTAAAATACGTTTTACTTGAGGGTTATTACATGACATTATTAGAGCGCCAAGGGGGGGGGAACAAGTTAACACCTTCACCACAGTGATCACATCAGTCTGGCTGTGGCTAAAATAGCATATTTCTCCCACCTATCACCCAAACATTTCTTTCAGGTGCATGCTAGGGAAGTTGAAGCAAAATACATTAATCCCTGTACTCATACAAACAGTGGTACTTCGGAATTGAACCCATCAAGTTATTAACTACAAATAATAATTTCCGTAACCAAAATTAGACTTCCAGTGAGGTTGGAGGTAGTATAACCCTAGGGCGAAAAGCTACGTACAACCTGTGCATTTTCAATCAGTAAATGCATTCCAGAAATACTTAACGAGATGTCAAGTCGCTCAATAAGCACAGCCTCATTATGTACGCAATGGACAATAGCTAACTGGCGTAAATATTGCTACACAGTCGGTGAATCTTTTGTACCTAAGATATGCGGGTAGAAACGTGGGCAGCTTTTCGTTCAAAATCGGTCAGTGGGCTATTTTTGGTCAACTTATGTAAACTGGGAAAAGTGGGACAACCCCTTTTACCCCATATCTTTGCCGATCAAAATTACCCATTTAGCCCATATTGCCCGGATGCATTCTATGACTGTACACCTATCCTGTTGCGACATTTTACACTAATCAGTTGTCACTCCTTGGGTACATAAAAAGGACTTGCAGTATTACATCTCCCTCCAATATCGTGAGGAAACCTGACGAGAAACGGAAATGGGTTGACGCACTTCCAGAAATATTACTCTGACCAGAAAAACATGTGTCACTGAAGCTATAGGCAGCAATGACTACACCTTCGATATAAGAGGCAACAAACTGGGAACCATAACAGACCGACAAACTGTTCAGAAGCATTGGGGCCCCCAAAGAGAACACATCGGAATAAGAACAAAGACATGATAATGGTGCACAACTGGAAATAAATCATACGGATTAGTGACAGGAACAACCTGCACACTGAAACATTTGGTTTACTTAGCCTTAGCTACCTATTAGATACCGTGAGACTTGAAAACCCATTCACCTATCCAATCGCGAGAACCGCTTCAAATAATTTCCAACAAGCTAGTCCCAATCAAACAGTGATCTTAATAGTACTAGACTTTAGTTTCTTTTATCTTACGCATAGTGGCCTAAGGAAGGATGAATTGTACATCAGGTCGAAACAAACATTAACCTGATATTTCAATTACCTTACTTTACTATGAGCGTTTCTGGGATCTAAGTATATAGTTTCTAGGTATTTTTTTGGATCACCAGTGACAAATGGTCTCAATTCGACCTAAGTCTACATAACATTCCAGTCTAAGACGACATACTTCATCACAAGAATAATGCAAGTCAACATAAGTGAGCTTCAAGAGTAGATGTCTATTATGCTTCCCACGTGTATCATGAAGACCCCTAAATACGAACAGCTGCAAAGCAGGATATATCTCAACATACCTCTTAGAGCCATGGCATTCACTGAAGAGCAAGAATATGGTAGTAAACGCACAAATTACACGTATGGATACATAAGTTGGGAGCTCGTGCTCAACACGACATTTGGACAGTCGGTGTGCGAGACTGACGCTGTGATCGGGCTATATTCAGTAATTGCGTATTACATGGGCCAAAAAACTTAAGATAATGTGCAGAAACAGAAAACCTCGCTATCATACTTACGCAAAAGAAAAGCTGCCCTGAGATCATTATCACAATTCATAATCACATGTGGGACGAAATTGCAAATCGGCACACCACAGTTAAACAGAAGATCGCATCCAGTAGGGAAGTTATATTTTATCACTTATGTTCTTGGTGCAGCTGGTCTGGTAAACTTCACCCGGGGCTTAACTATAATTCTTCTAAGACGCCTCGCTTCCCGACTGCGATTTCGAAGGACTTTCCCATGGATAGCACAGCTGATGCAATACTGAAGTTTCACGTACAACTTAGGGACTGCATAGTTTTCTGAAACAAACAACAATGACAAACATCGGATTAGAACCCCAACAAGCACAAAGTTCAAAAAATAACTATGTACAGCTCGTATCTGTGTCAGGTGGGACTGAATTAACTGACTCTGCAAAAGCTGCTGTTCATGTCGGACATTCGGTGGCTCCAAGTGACTTTTATCTCAGAGCGTATCCATGTCCATAAGTGAATAATGACACGAACTTACTTCCATAAACGGATGCATCTTCCAGATCCTTGACTGCAGCAGCCTCGACCATGCTTCGTGTCACCAGTTTCCAAACAGATTTGTCTTTTGGGCAGGCTCTCCCACAATTCGTGCACCTTATGAACTGAACATGACCACGACCTTTTTTCGACCGTCCATGATTCCTTCGCTTACGTGTCTATAGAGTAACAATAAGGATTTATACGCTCCAAAAGCCAGACCAACCACCTACCATGCTTAGAACAAAGTACCCTCTGTGAAAGGGGTATACACTTAAACTAAGTCGTTACGTTGTTAAAGGGTTCAATTTTTATTGTTCGTTCAGTGAGCCTACTGAATACCCTTTAGTAAACTCCCTTTCAGTATGTTTACTGCGCATAAGTGAACTGCACACTTTCGAGGTTCAACATTTTAAGTGAAAGCTATTAGCTAGAGGACTTGTCTGACAGTCTGGTATATTACGTTTTAGCAATAACTGAAACATTTTGGTCCAAATATACCAACCTACAGATTTCTCATAATATACACATTAAGGCAGAAAGTACTGCAGACCTTAGAGTTTAGGGCTGGTCTAGAAAAATGAGAAGAAACAAGCAGGGTCAAAACAATATCTTATGTTCACAGAATTCTGCACTGAATGGGTGTGAACATCACTTGTAACATAAAAAGTATTTCAAATTGTCTTGCTAATCACTTCCCCTATTTTGACTTACAGAGACGGGGCTTTGAAAGTTCATCAAATATATCTGGTTACTTCTTAGCAGCTGGAAAAACTGAGCATGTAGTTTTGACGCTGACTCTGCTTCTAGGGTAAAATCAGTGTTACGGAGGTCACTACCAAAGGTATTGTGCGAGACCCGAGAATCGCGAATTCATCACACAAATAATGAAATCTCCTTTAAGGCACATCTCATACAGACGGAACGCAATTTTTGTTCTTGACCAAACAGTGTTTTATATGAATATCATAAAATAGTAGGCTAAAATATGAACTAGGGGATGACCCACTACCACGACACCTACCTACCTGGAGAGTTCACCAAAAATCCGAGCTATAAGTTGAAGGGACATGCCAGTATGAGCCCTTTTCAGTAACCAGTCTGCACATTAAATACGATAAAATTGGTTTGGACGATATCTCATAAAAACAAGGGAACATTGTTGAAAAGCAAGGTAACGTCTAAGAAGACTATTATTTGATCTATCGGACTGACAACCTTAGCTAGATCTACAAAGTCAGACGTATCCGGAAGGTTATCTCCTCAGCTTGCGTGTCGCTTTTCCGAAGATTTCCACTAACCACTTCACGACTGAGTGATGTGCATTACTTATCATATCTAGTATTGTCTGGGACGTTACACTACGTTTGTGTAGCCCATGACGAGTGAAATATACACTGAAGCGTCTCTTAAGTAAGAAGAGTTTCTAGAACACTGACGCATACGCTACTGTACTTCCATCCAGATAAAGTCAACCATAGGTTTTATTTTTATTTAAAATGAAGAAGCAATGGATTCAAGAAATGAATTATTGACTTTTATTCGCTAGTCGACTTCAGTTAATGAACACAATAACAACTGCATGCCATTCCGTGTGTATGGAGCTTCTGTAGCTTGTTTGCAGGGCTTTATTTGTTTTGCTATAAACCATATGTAATTGCGTCGGTGGCACAGTGGTTAGGACTCTCGCCGACCATGCACATGGTCCGGGGTTCGATCCCCTGCCGACGCACACCCGATATCTATGGTCGGCCTGCAAAAATTTGGGCCACCGATATCCATGCTGAAAATTCCATACCTCTACCAAAAATACGGTGTGGAATCAAGCTGTAATGAAAAATTTAAAAAATAAGTTCAATCATTTTACCATTTATGAGAAACCTTCTCCAACTCCATGATTTGTGATAACGTAGACTTGGTACACAATAGGTTCAAACGGTGGCATCAAAGTGAAGTTATGTATGCTAAAGCCATATACGCCGGAGGTGTTCATGTGCAAACAGGTCCAAAATCGGTCTGGAACAGCAGAAAAACTTAATTTTACAAGCATAGATTGGGATGAACAACAACCACTAGAACAGCAGTGTGATCCCTCGGTTCCTTAGTGAGTTAGTCTGTGAAACAGATTTTCAGATTTTTATTATTTATGTACGTATGTATATATCTTTGCCATATCTTCGCATTTCTTTGGCTACCTAGGTAGCCTTCCCAGCTGGCTTCATACATTGCACGGTTATTCCACATCTCCATTCTTATTCTAGCTTTCAACGACAGGAGACAAATCAGCTGGCTGACTGGCTCCCCGAAGGCTTTCTCCAGCCTGCGTCATGTCGCCTTTCAGATTCCAGCGAAGATTAAGATTTTTATTTGAAGTTTTTGTATTTTTAATATATTTTCTGTGCGTTGAAGTTTCCATAGAGGTTTGATAGGTTTAATGGTGTGGGTTTACTAGCCTTGTGCCCAACCCTCCCTCTTTACTCGGGCTTGGGACAGGCTAGAAAAATAGCAAGTTAGTTAACTAGGAGAGGCTGGATTTTTAGATGCTCTCCCCAAAATTATCGGAGTCGCGCCGAATTGCTGAAGTTTAGGTTGGAAAATATTTAGCTTAGATATGGGATCCTCAGATCCGGAAATTTCAGATTTTGAGTCCAGTGTCTATCTATTCATCTACAAAGCGGTAATAGGTTTTAGCATCCTCATCCCTAATCGTGAAGCGAACTACTTCCGTCATGAATAACTGAATAGCATTTGTAAGAAAAATGTTATACTGGAAAAATTTAGGCAGTTCAGTGAGTGATCCGCCTTTGAGGAATATACGCATACGCATAGTCAAGCATGGCTATTCACGAAAAATTATACAGGCGGGTTGGGGAAATGCTATATATATAATGGTAACGACATTAGTTGGCAACTAATCACGGCTGTCTTGCGGTCCTAACATGAGTATATAGTTACACAGACTAGCGTTCAACAGACTTCAGACTCTTCACTGTTGTGTTTAACGGTATAATGGATGTTGTCTGGAAGTTCCCTGGGCATGTATCATACAGTGTTGTAGTGGCTTCCATGTTGAGCGCACTGGCTAGACACTTCTAAAAAGAACTCTGTTATCCCGCAAAGATACTTCCTAGATAATACGACGGATAGTTGGCTGGTTCACATGGTGTTAATGCACTGATACGTCGAACGTGAATCCATGCTGGCGTCTTTACAACCAACAGATTTAAACACTGAGAAGTATATAAAATTTTCATAAGCTGGAGTAAAGTGCTATTTGATGTATGACACTGAGCCTGAGAGATAGGGATAAACCCTAAGATGTATGTTAGTAGCATCACAGGGAATATAGTAGGTTACAGTGGCGAAAGGCGGCATAGTTCATTTGGCAGCGCAAGCTGCTGTAAGATATGAAAGGAAATTTGAATCCAATAGGCACCGCAGTTAGGGTAGTATCTGATTTATCACTAGTTTATTCTGAGGAATAAAGTAAGGGAGTAAGATCTGCCCCAGTTCGGCAGGGTTCTCCTCGTATTCCCGGAAACAAGTCGAGCACCTTTACTTCAGGGACTTTTGGGGAGCTGCGTTGAGTGTCAACCAGTGGCAGTGCCTGGATGTTCAGCAGTAAGTGCGCCTAGGCACTGAAGCTTGACTTATACCATTGTTGTTTTTCGAATCGCAGAATTAAATGCAACTGCCCTGAAAGTGTCGGTCGGTCGTTCGGTTTTCGACATAGAACTTTGCACATATGTGCGGCAGTTCAATTCGCCACACTCCCTGGAAGTGTAACATAATGTAAAATATAGAGTAGAGTAACTTGACGCGCTTTTCGATCTCTGAGTTACATAAACATAGTTACATAAAACTCTTATTTTTTTGGAATATCTTGCCAAAAAGTAGCAAAAAACTATTACAATTATTTGCCTATTGAACACTGAATCTCTGGATAATACATATAACTATCTATTAGCCACTCTGTGCTTGTTTAACACAAACTTATATCTACAATTGTATATATTGATGCATTTACTTGTTCAATTTGGCTCAAGTCAGTGAGTCTGTGATTTTGGTATCATTTTGGTTAACTGTACTTGACTGTGATATTATTATTGTTGTCGTCGCTTGTTAGCCTTCTTGTTGTGAATTATTTTCCTGTACTGGTATTGTTCTGATTGTTATATTCCTTGTTTTCCTGGTTTTAAGGGGAGCAACCGACAAGGTAACTTCTCTGTAAACTATATTTTAATGTAACAATCCCCTTCTCAGGCGTGAGGCTAGCAACCCCACCCGTAAACAAAGTTGCTACAGAAACTTCTGCACGATGAATCTCCTTGCGCCAAAAGAAAACGTCTGTGTGGGGACATGGAATGTCCGCACCATGTACGAGATTGGCAAAGCTGCCCAGATCGCAAACGAAATGAAAAGATGCGGAATTCAAGTACTGGGGATATGTGAAAGCAGATGGAACGGGAATGCACTCACCAAATTGTCACAGGGTGAGTCAGTGATCTACTCCGGTCACCCAGAGGATAACTACATGCACATCGAGGGCGTGGCTATCATGATGTCACCAACAGCAACGAAGGCCCTGATGCAATGGGAGGCGATCTCGCCCAGGATAATGACCTCCAGATTCAACTCCAAAGGAAGGAAAGTGTCAGTTACACAATGCTATGCACCGACAAACAAAGCAGATCTGGAGAAGAAAGAAGAGTTTTACAGACAACTACAGGCAACATTGGACAATACTCCAGTTGGCGACATTAAAATACTAATGGGAGACATGAACGCCAAACTTGGATCAGACAACACAGGAAGGGAACTCATCATGGGTAGAGAGGCTCTCGGAGAAATGAATGAAAATGGAGAACTCTTCGCCGACTTCTGCGCCTTCAATGAACTAGTGATTAGTGGCAGCATATACAAACACAAGGATCTCAACAAGGCTACATGGGTGTCACCAGATGGGCGAACCAAAAACCAAATCGACTTCATCTCAATCTCAAGGAATTGGAGGCGCAGCCTGCTGAACACAAAAGTAAGAAGAGGAGCAGACATTGGCTCAGATCACTATCTCGTACAAGGGACGATCCAAATCAAATTAAAAGCTTTCATAGAATCAGGAGCTGCAGATAGACCACAAGCCAAGTTCAACACTCAAAAACTGAAGGACCAGGACACAAAGGACATCTTCACTGCAAGCATAAAAGGACAAAGCCGAGACACAAATCAACACTGGCGAAGAGGTCAGCGTCGAAAAGCACTGGAACAACTTGAAGACAGTGTGGAGTCAAACATGCATGGAAGTTCTAGGCAGAAAGAAGAGACAGGACAAACA